AGAAGGGCCCTGGCTCTGGTGCCTCAGCGCCAGTTCACTCGTGAAGCAGTCTGCATGTCTCTCATGCTCTTTAGCTTTGCGAAAAGCCAATCATAAAATACACATTTTTCACATCTGTGGCCCCTTCCCCTGGGTCTGCTGTGGTGGCAAGTCCACACTTTGTCATTCCCACCTTTTCTATCTGGTCCCAATCCCCATTCTCTAAAGCTCGCATCTTAAGTGATTCCCAAAAGTGGCGAGGGTTCGTGGGTCGCACAGTCACCCGACAAGGAGGCAAAGTCCAGAGATTACTCAGGGACGATATCGCTGCTTGTCGGTGACGGCGTTCTGCCGCCAGGGCACGCCCCCGCTGGGGGGCAGGCTGTTGGCATTCATCACTGTCGCTGTTCCCATTCTGTGGATGGGGAGGACAGCCTACAGGCAGCAAGGGGTGATGGGTTGGCCGGAGGCTCTGAAATCGAGGAACCGACTGTGGACTGCGGAGCTGAGGGGCTGGTTGCAAGCCCCGACGCGGGGGCGTCGGCCGCCGGTGCTGCCACGGCCGGGGTCCCAGCCGCGGAAGCCGAGGCTGGCCGCGCGGCGGCAGGAAGCTGCGCGGCTGCCGAGTCACCCGCTGCGCAGAGAGGAGGAGGAGGCAGTTGTTCCACAGCTAAAGACAGGAGGGCGAAAGGGATCACAGCCCCTGTTGTGTCGTTTACCGATAGCAGAGACGCTGCCAGTGCCGCTGTCACTGCCATCTGCGCAGGCGCCATGGAAGAAGGGGGGAGAGCCGACAGGGGATGCGACGTTAGCTGGAACAAATGCTCGCCGGCAGGCGCTGACGATGGCGCAGGGTGTGGCCAGTACATCTGCGCAGGCTTCATAGCTGACGACAGGGAAGCTGATGGAGCAATCGGTCCGGCTGTTGCGCCCGCCGATGACGGAGGCAGTTCCACCTTCACCCGCGGTGCGGGGCGGGGGGGAATCAGCGGCGGGGGCAGCAGCTCCTGCCGGCCGTGAAAGAGCTGGTCCCCGGCCCGCTGCAGAGGGGGGAGAGTGGGGCCGACAGGCGGGGCCAAGCGGCTTGTGGAGCAGCGAAAGGCAGCCTCGCTGGGCGGGATGAGGCTGGCTGAATCACAGACATGTCCGCTGCTTCCCGGGGAGCAGAGGCGGGCATCGACAGTGGCTGGAGTGGGGTCAGCTGTCGCAGTGGCTCGCCAGTTGCTCTTTGCAGAGCAGGGAAAACCCGTTATGCTGGCGGTGGCGGCAACACTCCCGGCGCCGCCTGCGGCACTGGAGGGGCCGAAAGTGGCACAAACGGAGAGGGGCCATCCTCTGGGCACGGCCGGGACGCAGCTATCGCACTTGGCGGTGCTAGTTTTGCAGGAGGAGGATATGTCGGCTTCAAAGAATCATAGGGATGAGGATGTTTTGGCGGAACATAGTCTCTAGGCGAGAGACAGGTTCTGCGGCGGGCCCCCACATCCCCCGCGGGTCCGCGCGGAGCCAGGGAAAAGCTGGCAGCTGCCCGGCCAGCCGATCCGCCCCCTGGGGTGTCGGTGCTCACAGAGGCAACCTCTTCGCCATCCGAGGTCCCCATTTCCGATTCGCTTCCCCTCGGGGTCTGGCCTCACAGGGCTCTAGATAAGACACCCTGTCGCCCTGATTAAGATTTTCTAAGCCTTCTGATGTTTGCATTCTTGTATCAAACTTTCTCACACACTCTCTGTAAACAACTTATTGTTTTGCATTCTTTTATGGAGGAGGAGAAACTTGATAGACTGTTGGTTTGTCCAGTGTCCTTGGAGAGGTGGCACTTTCACCCTCCAATCCACTGTCACCTTTGGAAATCTATAAATGTTGGAGTCAGAAAATAAACTTCCTTTTTTCCCTGGAGAGCAGCAGCATGTCTGCGTCATGTTGTTTTGTGTCCTATAGTGACAACACCCCATACAGGTATAAGTCGAGGCACGGTGGTATCCCCACTAGCAAACTCTTCCCACAGCCGGTAGCCCAATGCATCCCACGTCTGTGGACTAAAAGCGGTATCTACATCTACTGGATAATCATTATATTTGGCCCAGGCAAGCAGAGTGCAGAGTGAATCATCTGACACACAGATACCAATAAAAGAATCATGTCCCTCCAAACAGAAATAATTGTGTGTTCTTCTGTAGAGATGTGACTTCCCATCGTGAAGGCACCGTCCCCCAAATTCCAGCAAGACTACCTCAGGGTATCGACTGTCTGCTTTGCTGGGGAACTCGTTCCCGCCCTAGCTTTGAAGCTATTAGGGCCAAAACCGTGATCCCAGTCCTTTCCAGGAGGACGCGGGGAAAGGTCACTGTTACCTCTCCGGGGGAACAGAAGGTGCCCAGACACGAGTGGGCTGCGCGGGTGCTGCAGGGTCCCAGCGGGGTCTGAGACGTCTTCATCCGTCCTACGAGCCACGAAGGGTCGATAGATGTAATTCTACGGCATGGTCACCAGATGTCACTGTTTAAGAAGAAAGGACACAGAGTCATCAGAAGGCTAAGTGGCATAAGCACATCCCGTCTTTATTGAACAGCTTCTTTTTATACACTCGTCCGATACAGGTGGACCTGATTGGTCATTTAATCAATACATTTCACCTGATTGTCTAATTAACAAGATGCCCATTTGTAAACAATCCTATGAGAATAATAAGAAAACAGATATTAGAAAAACAACACCTGCAGGTTGTTTATAATAATTGGCTATCATTGTTCTCTCCAGCTCCCTAAAGTCTCTGTAGTGGTTTTGGTTTGCTAATTTAAGGGTTTTCTAATTTTGAGATTTTTTTTGGCTAATGAACCAATGAATGTGGTGGGTTTGGTGTTGGCTAATCACTAATACACTCACTTTTTATTGTGAGATAGGATTAGGAAAAAGGCAATGCAGGCTCAAAACTTTAAGAGGGTATAAAGAAAATTTTATTAAAACTAATTAGAAGGAAAAAAAGGTAGTAAGAATCAAAACAAACCCTTCAGAACACTTCTCCACCCCCCACAACTTTTTCTTTCTTACTGACAATGTAAAGAAACTAAACTTAAGATTTCTAGTCAGTTTGCTACTCCTAAAATAGTCTTTCTTTAGTTTACTGAGGGAGAGAAGTTTTTCTTGTTAAGGTTATGGAGACTTCTCTACAAAAGGAAAAAAACAGTTCTCTCGTGGTTCTCAATTTTGTCACGAATAACAGCTGCTTGGGGAACTTTGCCGTCATGAAATCTTTCCCATTTCTACAAGCTTTCTCACAGTTTGTCAATGGTCCATGTCGATTTATGGGGTATTGTTTTAAAGATGAGCTGTTTAAAGGCAAAAGTTCTTATTATCGATTTCTAAAATCATCTTCATCTCTGAGAACAGAGATCTTCTCTTAGAAGCACAGGACTACTCTTCTCTCTTTCTCTGTTTAAACTTTCCTCTCGTTCACCTGCATCACTTCCCGGGAGTGATACGCTGTCCGTTTTTGGTGGTGGCTGTCGGACTGTTATTATGGTCGCGAAATAAATTTTATTTTTCATATTTTTATTAAAATTGGCTGACTCACAATTTTCATTTATAACAAACTTCTTATAGGATCACAGCCATTTTAACATCTGCTTACTTTAACATGGAAGCCTTTACTTGATATTAATTTGAACATTTTTGTCTCTCTATAGTTTTATGCGTTATAAGGAAAAAGAGTCTTTTCTTCATAGCTTACAAGAAGATTTCAGCTCTAAAAACAAGGCATCTCTTCACCCCTCCCATCTGGGACTTAACTTCTTCTTTACTGACTTTAATGTCTTCATATTGTTCTTTTACATACTTGCATCTTGTTATTTTCTCTCACTTAAGAGAAGATTGAAGCACTGAAAGGGTTAACATCACGCCTGAAGCTCACCTGACCTGCCATTAACTTGTGGCAGAGACCTGTGGCTAACTTGTGTCAGGATCGGCTTTATAGTTAGTCTTTACTTTTCTGCACAGGCTGTAGAAGTCTCTAGTCTCAGCTTTGCTAGAGGGAAGAGGCCTGACAGCAAAATCTTCACAGCCGCAGCCAGCCCTGCTCTAGCCAGGGCTCTGCAGCCTCCCTCGCCTTCCTGCTCGGCAGCTGCTGAGGCCCAGCCCGGCCAGACCAGAGCCGATGCGGGGGGCCAGTGGGCGGCCCGGGAGGGGAGAAGAGGCCCTGCCCGCAGCAGAACTGCCCGGCCTGGCCTAGCCGAAACGAAGGGAGAGCCGGGGCCGGGGCCGGAGCCGGAGCCGGAGCCGGAGCCCACCACCTCCTCACTGACCAGAAAGAAAAGAGAGAGTTCCCGAGTTTTTTCATCTTTAATATGTGTTTCATAGAAGCGTGTCCAGCTTCTCAGTAGTTCAATAGACTGTCAGTTACACAAAAAGCTTTGCATCACTTCCCTGAATTTCCTCCCATTCCAAACCAAGACAAGTTTCCCAGGCAGATTCTGAGAAAACTTACCTAGCTTTCTTGCTCTCTGACCAGGCTGTCACATCCACATTAAACAACAGTAAATATCTAACAACAGTAATGTTTACACAGTTGTCTATAATGCAAAAAAGAATTATAACTATTAGGAAAAGTTATTTAAGCACAGAAGAACAATAATTTAAATCACATCATTGTTTGCATCAATCTTTGTTTTTCCTGTTGTTTCAGGAGCAAAGCCTTCTTAACCCTGAAGTAGTGAATCCAGGGTCCTTTGCCAGTGACTTTTACTGTGGTGAGGGTATATTATCAACACTTTAATTGAAGGGATGGGACTACTGTTGGGCTAAAACCGATTTATTACTCAGATAAACATCAGCCTCAAAGGTCGTGAGATTTTAGAGGAATAAGAAGTCAGCTATAGCTCAAGGTAGTCGCAAGTTTCTTTGTTACAAGGCAATATATAACATTTTGATCCAATAGAAAGTTGCCAAAAAGTTTATTTTGCTTTTCTAACTTATCATCTTTACTTAATTCTGCCACACTACATATACTTTTATCCAACGGGCTACTATTACACGTACACACATATGCTTCTCTTATAACATCTAAACTCTTAGCTTACTCTATACAATTACATTACTATACTATAAAACCCTTCACCATCTTACCCAATGCAGTTTCTTACTTACTTAAGGCATATTCTTACTTACAACTATAGAAACAGAAGTTTATAATTTTTCTGCCAAATGTCTGTGTACTTTTATTTTTACATCAATCCAAGCTTCTTCCAAGGCTGAAAATCAAACCCATCAGTATCTGTGGAAGTTTCTCTTTCCATTTCCTACATCTCCCCTCTCTCTCTGCACCAAAAAAATTCCATTAAAAGATTTGTCAATCATCTGCTGTATACATTGAAGCATACAAGGCACCATTATTAGTGCTACTACAACAACTAAAATATATAAACCTGTCATAAGACACTTTTTTAATGATGGCGTTAAATCCCATCCACTAAACAGATCATCTAGCCAAGTTCCATCATCTACTCTTATTTTTGATACACCTTCTTTGAGCTGTTGTATGCTTTTATGAATAGACTCTGAGTGATCAGATAGATTCATATAACAGATTCCTTCAAAATCTTCACATCCATGTCCATGTGCTAACAAAACAAAGTCTATTGCTGCCCTGTTTTGTAAGGTTGCATGCCTAACACTTTTGACATCTTCTAAGAAACCACTTAATGCAAGGGACGTAGCATTAGATTGTTTACTCAGCCAACATCCCAACCTAACTGCTTTAGTGCTACTGCTGAGGCAACAGGTGGTATAAAAAGTGATGTTACAAACCTTTTTCCAAAACCCCAAGGTTCAAAATCATCCTTACACTCTAATCCGTATTGATGGATAAATGACCTTTTTCCTCTGTGTTTCATACTGGCAATCATTCCCATACTAGGAGTCAACAATGCAACCTTCCCTAAGCTGCATGGACTACCTTTAATGTTTGATGGAATAACAGGCCATGCTCTGTCTCTGCAAACAAAATATATCCCTTGTGGTAATTGAAGACAAACACAGCTAAATGTAGATGGAACTTCAGAAGTGTCATTACACCAAAAGGTTTGGTTCTTATATATAGGGTGATGCGGAGAAACATCTCTCACTACTGACTATTTCCTGAGTAATAAAACTTGACACAAAACTCTACTTTTACAGAACCAAGGAGCTCTAATTCCTGAGGTTCAGCAGATGTTTTAGGAAGATAAGGAGTCTACTATTCCCATGTATGAAGTGGAGTCTAAAAATTCCACACATTTGACCCAGCGAAGGTGCCTCGCATAGCCCTGTTGATCTTTCTTGGTATAGGCCAGGTTTCTACTGGTACACTGACTAAGCAAGTGGAGAACGGATTTTCTGGAGTAGTAGTAGATAAACACAAGGTATCTAACCCTGAAACATTAGCTAAAGTCACCCAAACATTTGTTCTAGGCTGTCTAACTGGCAAAGCTGCACTACCAAAAGCAAACAAAGCAAACAAAGCAAACCACAAACTTAATATTTGATTGAACTTCATGTTTCACTAAAATTATTTTTAGGCAAGAGGTTCTTTTCTCAAATTTTAATTTTCAGGTGAATTTTTAAGAATAT